CATTTTTAATTTTTTTTTTTTAAAAAAAAAATTGTAGTAATTACCTTTAAAATCTGAAAGTGGAGTCGAAGGCGGGGCGTCGAGCGGAGGCGGATCGCCGAGGCGAAGGCGAGGCGTCAATGCGGTGTCTAAAAGCAGTGTCGGAGGTTAAGACTCGGGCAAGGGGCGGCGACGGTGTCGGGGGTGAGGCGCGAAGACGGTGGGAAACTGGGACTCGTGTCGTGGTGTCGGAGGCGAGGTGTGTGAATTTGAGAAGTGAGAAGAGAATGTACTGTAAAGTGTGTGAATTTGTGAATTTTATTTGCACGAAAGCAAATAAAATTTCTAGGTTACATATATGTATTTTATGTAAAATCTAAAAATATAAGTTAGATAATGATTCATCCTATCACATTTATAAATTTTATCAATAAAAAATAAATGATATAAATATAGATTATTTAACTTACGTATTAATATTTAAATTTAAAAAATCTTAGTTGAATAAGATCAGTTAATAGAATAAAAAAATATCGAAGTTATTATAGCAATTATGTACAAACTTTTAAAAGATTTAGTTGTGCCATAAAAATTAATTAACTATTTTATTAAAAAAAAACTTAATGAGGTGAAAAAAAAATTAAATAAATAATTTGAAAAAAAAAACTTTAGTATATAATACATTTAATGATTTCATTATGAGTTAATAGCATTAGACATGGCCAATTGGCAAGCCTGCGGGCCGAAGGGTTGGGTTATATGGACCCTGAACCGGCATGACCTAGATCTGTGTCGGGTCTGGGCCTGTTCAAATTAAAAAAAAAAAAATTAAAACCAATATGTTTTTCCTGGACCGGCACGGACCCAGCTCGGTGGGCCAGGGTCGACAAAAAAGGCCCTAGACCGACCCAGTTGAATTCCAAGCCGGGCCAAGACTCGTGGTCAACGAGTTTAACTAGAGCGGGTCCGGGCCGATGATCACCCGTGGCCACGTCTAAATAGTAAATAGTAGCAATAATATAATAAAACAAATAGAAAAATATAATTATTGATTAATGCAAAAACAATGAAAAAAAAGCGAAAAACCTAAAAGTTTTTTTTATTAAATTCTTTGGTAACACTTATATATATAGATATTATATATAAATATATAAGTGTTAATAAATAGCGGGGCGGGGCGGGGTGGGACGGATTTATTTACCTGCTTAGGTAACGAGTCGGACCTAGCCCAATCCGTTGGGCTGAACTGGGCCGAGTTCAGGTCGTTTCGCCATTCCTAGAAATGAACTATGAACAAAACTTTATATTTATTATGTTTTACTAATTATATATTTATTATATTTTACTAATTATATTATTATGTACAAATATAAATATTGTAATAAAAAAGGACATCTTGGGGCAGCTCGGACCAGGGCGAGGTTTGAGACCCAGGCCTGGCTCGCTCAAGTAACGGGCCAGACCTAGCTTGGCCCGTTATGGAAACATGGCAGCTTGACCTGCCCCAAATGTTATCAAAATGGGCTACATAAAAATGACAAAAAAAAAAAATTTGTTACTTATATAGTATTACAAAAAAGTATTACATTTTAGTAATAAAAAAGTATTACATTAATACCTAAAAAATTATAATATCAAATGCCTTACAATGATATGATACATGAACTAAAAAATTATAAAGTGAAATAGGGGAAACTTAATTTTGTGGTCAAAACTGCATATGTCATCTTGATTTTCTGAGTAGAAGTAAAAATTGGAGGAAATAGATACAAACAGGAATGGGATGAAAAAAAAAAAGGAGAAATCAAATGTACACTAGTCCTTGTTTAGTTTGGTGGTAGTTTTCTTTTCTCTTTCTCTTGGGTTATTACTTTTTTTTTTTTTTTTCGAAACGACAGAGGTCTCTTGGGTTATTACTCAAAAGGGCATAACTTTAAATAAAATGTTAAGATATATACAGCCTAATTAACAAAAGAAATCACTTCGTCTTATTTAAAAACCGTAGATATTATGTCTAACTATCTTAGGGTGGTATTTTCGTCTTATTTTAAAATCCCTTTCGGACACTATCATGCTGATATTATGTGAAATTCATCCTTTAAGATGCACATTTTTAATTGAAAAAAAAAAGACTATGGGAGCATAGTTTTGAAACCCGCCCGGTTAAGTCTCCGGGTCACCGGTTCACCGTCGAGTCACTGAGTCAATTGTTGAACCAGATAATTTATTTTAAAATTTTTAAAATTATGTATATAGAGCATTTTGTCATATAAATATACATAAAGTAACAAAATTAAATATTTTGTATGTAAAATTTGTAGATTAAAGTGGTAATAATATGTATTTAATGATAAATATTAACCATATAAATATATATACATAGTTTTATTTTTTAAAAATAAAAAAAAAAATTAAATAAAAAAATATATATAGGGACTGGGTCAACCGAGTTGACCCAATCGGGTCAATGCCCCGGGTAGACCGAATCAAGCTAGGTTCGGCCGGGTTTTGACCGGTTCCTTTGTTGCCCAGTCCAATTAGCCCAACCGGACCAATTCCAGTTCCGAGTGGAGCGGGTCCCAGGTCGACCCGTCGGGCCGGTCCGGGTTGAAAAGCACTGTATGGAAGTATTAATTATTATTGGTTTTGAAGACCATTTTTTTTTATATTTGTGAAATTAATTAGACTAAAAATTTCAAAGGAATTATTTGTAACAAATAACCCAACTAATTTGTAATCCAAAACACTTGGAAAACAACATGCTCATGAGTCATGCTAACCCCATTTTAACACATCCATGCATCCATTTCTCATTAAACTATCATCAAATTTGGTTTCAATTCAATCATGAATCAAAAAACATAAA